GGAACACTGATTATGACAGATGGTTAATGTTCCTTTCAGAGACGACATTTGATGTACTGAAGAAAATATTCTCCACACAAAACTACATATCAACATTTGAAAAATGGAACAATCTTTGGAAAATAAAGTTTAACCACACAAAGTCACAACCTATCACCTTTACATTCCTTCGTGAGAATTGTACTAGCATAGAGGAACTAAAAGTTAATTATTTAGGACTTACATTTGCTTGAAGACTAACTTGGAATCTATACACACGATTAAAAAAACAGATACTCAACAAACGATTTAAAATGCTTTATTACCTACTCAACCGACAATCAAAATTACCATTAAAATCAAAAATTTCGACTTACACATACCTACTCAAACCTATTTGGTGCCAAGTTTATGGTTTGGATAAATATTCAGATATTCAAAGATTACATAGTTTTCAATCCATAATTTTAAAACTAATTGTTTCTGCCTCTTTTTATGTAAAAAATTACACACTTCACAGAGATCTTCACATGCCAACAGTTTTGTCTTCCATCAAAACATATTACAGGCGATTATTTGGAGACCGTGAGATGTGGTCTGGTGTGACGTAGGTTTTAGAAAAACATTTTCTTGGTAGTGCCAACGTTTCGATCTTTATTGAGATCATCTTCAGGGCCTGGGATTTATAAGCATTGTTTAAATTATACAAATAACACGTAGAATGTGAAAAAATGAATTTATACAACACTGCTAGCAAATATAAATATTAACTGCGTATTTTTTGTTTTTCTGATAACATTATGTGTTCAAGAGAAATTCAGCCGGTTCATCTAAAAAGAACACCCTGTATATATTTGTTTGTTTTTTAAATTGGTATCTTCTTCTTTTTATACCATCGATAGCTAGTTGGATTTCGAATTAAGTTGTGTTTAAATCTCATTAATCAGTTTGGCAAACGAGGATTGGACGAGAATCTTTCAAATGTTCAAATATTTATGTCTTACTAGGTTTGAAAAAGGTCGAAAAAACTTAGTCCCATACCCTAAGGGTTTTTTATCACCATAAAAATCCGCATTTATAAATTAAGCAATAAAATATTTAATAAACGGTGCTTTGACAGAGGAAAACGAAGAAGAAATAAATTTAAAATGGAAAGAACGCACGGCGCAACCAGATACCCTACCGCAATACCGTCCGGTCCGGCGGAAGTTTATTCCGGCGCTTTTATAATACAAATCACCAAATTTAACACTTATTATCCATAATAAGTCAAGTAAAACGTTTTTACATTATTTATTTTACCATACAATTTTCCTAAAAGAGAAGAAATCGTGAAAAGGAGTTTGTTTCGTTATGAAAAAAAATCGACCCGGAAGTCCTTTCCAATGGGATCGAACTCGATAATAGGATTCGGGTCAAACGGATTCCTCGTCGGAAAAAAGGGGTTAAACGGTTTTACGCCAACAGTCCCCGAAAGAGGTCACCCCGCTAACGATGCAGCCCCCTTATCTCCCTTTTATTTCCGACTTGTATTACAAGGCGGGGTTTGAAGAGGAAAAGACTTGGAAATTGCCGGTTGAGAGAAGTGGTCCAAATAATGGGCAAACAGAGGCTAATGGCTTTTCGAATTATTAACAGCGCTTTACAACCGAGCTTTCGTTTAATGGGGATTTTTTATTCATAAAAAAATGAAAACTTTTCAAACTGTGCGCGGTTATATGCGTGTAGAACGAAACAGGTTTGCTCTTTCCACCACGTTAAAAAAATAATAATTCAACCTAACTTCAAAGACGAATTCGAATGACCCAACGTTAAACTTTTTCTTTCTAAAAAGCTAAAAAAACAGGATCAAGATTTCCCAGACACGCTTCACCTTTGCTCAACATGACCTACTTTTCATTTTATATATTTTTTCCTTCTTGAATTGTAATTTTTTCTATTAATTATCCGCTAATCTTTGTCAGTATCGAACAAATTCGGTTAAATCTGTCTAAGTCTTCTGTCAATGTAAGAAATGACAATCATTTATATGAACATTAGCTCACACATACACTCAAGCACACATTCACGCATACAAGCGCGCGCACGCACACACACACACACACACACACACTTTTTCTCTATCAATTACTAACATGTTTACATGTTCTCTGCCTCTATCAATCAATCAATCACATAATCACTAGTTCACGCATTCTCTCTCTCTCTCTCTCTCTCTCTCTCTCTCTGTTTCTCACTCTTCTCTCTCTCTCTCTATCTATCAATCTATCTATCTATCTATCTATCTATCTTATTTGTATCTATCTATCTATCTATCTCTTCCTCCATTCAAACAATTACAAGTTAATTTCCTCACGCCCTCTCTCTCTCTCTCTTCTTCTCTCTCTCTCTCTCTCTGTTTCTCACTCTTCTCTCTCTCTCTCTTCTTTTCTCTCTCTCTCTCTGTTTCTCACTCTTCTCTCACTCTCTCTCTCTCTCTCTCTCTCTCTCTATCTATCTATCTATCTATCTATCTATCTATCTTATTTGTATCTATCTATCTATCTCTTCCTCCATTCAAACAATTACAAGTTAATTTCCTCACGCTCTTTCTCTTTCTTTTTCTCTCTCTCTTTCACCTCTCCACAAACCTCTCAGGTAATATCTGTGTGTCTGCGGAGCGATGAACCTTTACTTTATAATAATAATATAGAAATGTGGTCTGCTAGAAGTTATTTGAAACATGGCATCTATTCGATTAAACATAAAGAAAACACTATGTAAAAACTGAAAATTTATTTCAGAAGCGAGTCTAATATGAAGAAACGCATCAAATATATATCAAATATATAAATTCTTTCAAGGCGATAAATAAAATAAAAGTACGGAGGGTAAAAATAGAGAATAAATAAATCGAGTTCCAACAGGGTCAAATTCTTCTCGTAGGCGGCCGGGACAACGTTCTCTCTCCTCCCGCGTGTATCGCCGGAATTCGAAACCGAACCCGCCGCCCCGACTGAGTTGAATAAAAACCGTCTCTATTTATACACATTGTCGGTGGGTACAATTATTTGCAGAATCTGCGTAAATTAGGATGACAGGGTCGGGGGGGGGGAAGAATGCGAACCGCGACCCAAGCCGCGAAAATAAACCACGACAAATCAACGGGATTAGTGTTATTCCAACGTATATCTCATTACCAAGTGATTTACTTTCTTATTCACTCAGGTAAACAAGAATATTCTATATATAATGACTATTACACGTTTTTACACAAACGAACACAAAAATCGCTTAACCACCCGTAGTACAACAACAAGCTAAACAAGACCGCATTTCAATTATACAATAAAAAAACTAATAATATGACGTAAATGTTTTCAAAGATTTTCGTCAGGCTGTCCAAAATCAGCAAGGTAGTCTGACAAATAATATAAAAACTGCGATATAGAGAAAAATTAACACATAGAATTGTGAACCCAAATTCCTAAAGAGAAAGTAAGTAAACATAGAGTGATTAAAGGAGAAAGAGAAAAAGTAGACAGATAGTAGGAAGGTAAAAAATAGAGAAGGAAGGAGCTGAGAGGGAAAGAGAGACAGATAAAGCTGGAGATTGAATAAATGTAGATACATGCATAGATATAATGATTGGAGAGATATTTAGAAGATAGTTGGGCGACAGATAATTATAGAAATAACAGTAGATAGATAGTAGAAAGCTAGATAGATAGTTAGAGAGTAGAGCGAGAGAGAAAGAGAGAAAGAGAAAGAGAGAGAGAGAGAGAAAGACATGTGAAGTTAGTGGACAAGTGAATAATTGTTGAAAAGAGAGAGATGGGGAGAGAAAGCCGGAACGAGAGAGATGTGTGAATATGAGAGAGAGAGAGAGAGAGTAAATTGTTTAGAGTAAATATTATGTTCGTTGATTTGGTTTCGTTGATCTTGATTCGCCACCGACGGAGCCAGCATTCTAGGGTGTTCAGGTGATTTTGAAGATTACGGGAAGCAGTGATAAATAGGTAAATAGATAGATAGATAGACATAGAGAGAGGGAGAAAGAAAGAGAGAGTGACTGAGAGAGAGAGAGAGAGTGGATAAATGTGAAAGTGATTAAGGGAGAAGGAGAGAATGCAAGGGAGAGGGTGAGGAAGAGAGTGAGGGTTTAAGGAAGAAAGAAAAATTGATAAAGAAAGGTAGAAAGATAAATAGAGAGATAGAGAGAGAGAGAAAGTTAGTGAGTGAGTGTGTGAAAGTGAGAGGAAGAGAGAGGTGTAAATATGAGAGTAATTAAAGAAGAAAGAGAGCTTGATAAGGAAGAAGAGAGAGTGAGCTATTAAATATTGGAGTAATAGATGGATAAAGAGAGACAGACAAAGAAAGATTAGAGAGAGAGTGAAAAGTGTCTGTCCTGTTTGTATCATTATTGATGAGTCTAGTCTCGCTATTTGATATTTCAATGCAATCATATTCCCTGGAAAACTTTTTCCTCCAATTAAGCACCATTACATTTTACAATATATTGTTTTAATGAGGTCATTTTGTATCAAAAAAACAACTCGTCAGTTTTTTTATATACGCAGATAAAGGGAGTCTTGGTGTTGAAACAAGTAAAAAAATGTTACGAGGGCTTCATAAACGGGCAAAAGTAGCTCGTATGTACGGGCCCGTGACCCGATTCGCTGCGCTGGGCCTTTTCTTAGTGAGGAGGGCGAATATACGTTTCTCGTCGGAACTTTGCACCCCCGAGGGGGTTTCGACACGGCCCCGGGAGCACGCATGCGCCCCCTTTCTTGCACGCAATCAACCCCGCGGTCTACTCAAATTATGTAAATCTATACAGTGACAAAGAGATAGAGAGAGAGGAGAGTAATTTATTCTCCATTTTACTAATGAAATTGTCAGATTATGCAGGAATGAAATATTGAATAGTGTTGACAATTTTTGAAAAACATGTTTGGTTTAAAAATGAGAAAAAGTACAAAACGTCAAATTTTTATGTTTGAGACAATTTTATTTCATGCAGATTTTTCAATTGTAAATACCAATATTGATGATGCCGTTGTTCGTAATCTCCCAGCAGCTGTGCAGCCTCAGGATGTTGAGCGACGTCGATTGCTTCGGCGAGAAGAATCCCAGCGCTGCGTCTGTCACGTGATAGGCCTGCAGGGAAAATTCGTACAGCGAGGGCAGCAGCTGGGCCACAGCGCCGATCGCCTCATCTGCGACGTTGATGCAGTCTGACAGCGTCAGGCTTACTATCCTAGGAGTCAGACACGACCAGAGACCAGCTTCGGTTATCTCGTTGCAGCCGGCTAACTCCAATTCGTAAAGCCCCTAAATTAAAAAAAGAAAAAACAATCCGTCAGTCTATTTATTTTAGAAAGAAGTCATTCTAAGACCTAACGTTGGAGAAAGCGATGACATCCTGGTTGTGACCCTCAACCCTGAACTAAAGAAATATTCTATGTGTGGTGGTTTATGTGTCGGTGTGTCTCTGTGTGTGTAAGCTCGATTACATTTCAAGAAAAACAGATATTTGAGCCTTGTTTAGTATTAGGATAGGCTAAACCCGCACGACCGTCATGTCGTGCAAAACTGTATACCTGTTGCGCCGTATCTTTCATTCTCCTACCAAATATTTATTATTTTTATTTTTTGCTTTTTGTATATAAAAAAAATCCATGTGGTTTTTTAAAAAGTAAATTAATCAATTATATAAATGTTTATTTGTACGATTCGAGAATCCATCGTCAGAATCTTTGTAAAAAAATTATGAAATTTTTCATTATATATTATTTCTTTTAAAAGAAATATAACCATTGCGCATTTTTAACGGTAGATATTAATTATTGCCGTCTTTTCTTTTCTTATGATATTGTTCCCTAAGATCCCTGCCAAAACGTTTAGTTCTTCAGAGTATTGGGTATAAGGATTAGAATTACCAAAAAAAAGTTCCCTAGTCACTAAAAGAAATTATCCGTATTAGACCCATTCAACTAGACCCATATTCTGTCGTCCAAAATTTCACAAATTTGAAGGCGTCTATCTGGGCCATCTTCATTAAGTTCTTGATGCAGATGAATTTAGAACGAATGAAATATGTTTTTATTGGGAATATTTCGGACGGAAATCTTCGAAATATCATTCCTACTGGCGCCTTGCTTGCAGGATTGGGTAGGAGTTTCGATAATGTCTAGAAGAACGTCTTCTACAACCTCTTCTTTAAGTCTATAACGCCTGTTAAAAGAAAAGACGTTAATAATTAACATCTATCGTGTTTAAAAATTAAATCAAAAGTTGATTTTTATTCATTTTTTTAAATGAAAACGTACTTGGTCTCTTTTTATCAACGACTGTTCCGGTTTGTTCAAATTACATAAAACACCTAACAACGGGACGATCCGGATGATTGGTGTTAAACACGAGTTCAGCTTCATAAATTAAATCTACTCTATCTTCCAGAGATCTAGACCACCTTGGCATATTATTATTTTTTTTAACGGAAACCCGATTAACACTTTAAAAAATCAAATTAGCAGTTCTATTTTGCATTAGCTGGAGATGAAGTGAACCAAAACAAATTATCTCTTGATTCCTTAAAATCAACTCACGAGATATTATTCGATGTTTACTCATAAACCAAAAATCTCACAATTGCCGATATTGGGATATTTCAAATTCGCACAAAACCAGATACTTTCCTTGAAGGGCGAAATGAATCCCATTATAGGATTTTGCTTTATATGAAGATTGTTGGTGCCCATTTTGTAAAATTTAAATTACTAGGATTAACTTAATAAAATTACTAGGAGGTAAATGAATTAGTAATTAACTTAAAATTGCTAGGAGGTAAATGAACGACGATTGAGATAAATAAAATTCGAACTTTTTTTTCAAACCTTAAAGGACAAACTCTACAAGAAAAGTACCCGAAGTAAAGTCTTTAAAAAAAGTCGTAGAATTTTATCCCGTATTCAAAATGATACTTTTCCATTTGAAAAAAAAGAAAAATGTCGCGACATTTACGACAAATAAAATTGCGGGAGGGGAGTTTATAATCACCCGGTATGAAGTCTAATAGTTTTTAGTTTTGTGTAAAAAATAACGATAAAGCTTGCTTTCAACTGGAAATGTGCACGTGTATAAAATAGTATATGCATTTTTGAAATAGTATGATATTGATGTGCAATACTGTGATATAGATTTGAGTGTCGTTGAACGTGTATACTAATTGTTTCCTTATGTGTAAAACTATTTCATTGTACTTTGTACTTTGTATTAAGTAATTAATTGATTTATTTATTATGCAATGTGTACTATTGCTGCAAAGCAATATAATAAAAAAACTGTTCTACAAATGTATTTATTTATTTATTTTTAATAACCTATGTAATCCGATTTTTTTTCAATAATCAGAATATAGTGATTAGTTCGGATTACTGAGAAAGCACTGTATTGCTTTGTTTAGAATAAAAGTGGCTATTTGAAAAGTGACATCCTGTATAAATAAGCGTTAAATAAATAAATAATTTGTACTCTGTATGTAGGGATATGGAAGTAAAGGAGAAAAATTAGGGCCTTGTTAATTTTCCAGAATAGGCTAAACCTTCGCGACGTTTCTGTCGTGCAAAACTGTCGCCTTTTTTCGCCGTGACCCCGCTGTCTTTGGACACGACGAAATCGAACCGTTTCGTAAGGGCTTGTATTGCTTTGTTTAGAATAAAAATGGCTGCTCTGAAAAGTGACAGGGTAAAGGAGAAAAATTAGGGCCTTGTTAATTTTCCAGAATAGGCTAAACCTTCGCGACCATCCTGTCGTGCAAAACTGTTGGACACGGCGAAATCGAACCGTTTCGGACGGGTTTTTAAATTTAAAACTCCGGCCAATTGGAGAGAAGTTGCACCCCTCTTAACGAGGCTGACACTCCTTCCAATTGATTTTTTCCAGATCGTAAACCCGGAGGCGATGGAGGTCGGAAGGGGTTCTTCGATAAAATTCCCAACGAAAGTGGGCTCGAATCGATTTCCTCCAATCCCAATGTGGCCCAGCTTTAGAACGAGGCCAATGTGGCGAGTAAAGCCCTTTTAATGAGGGCCCTAACTCCATTGACATCCATTGTCGGGGAAAATACTGAGAATTTTATTTCATCCCTTCTAACCCTCTGAACGAATCCCTTTCTTTGTATTAATAAATTATTAAAAATACTACGATTTATTTAATGATAACCTTTAAAAAAAACCTCACATGATTTCCTTGACTTAACAAACCGGAAATATATAAATTATTTTTGTGGTGTCTACTTAGAGCTTTAAGCTTCGCTAAGTCCAAAGCACTGGCGGTAATTAAGCTAACATTAAACGGATTAACCCAATTAACAAATGGGATATCAGGGTTATCGGTCAAATAGGCGAGTCTGGTTTCGCTTTTCGCTCGGGGAGGGCAGGGCTTAAATTAAGCCCATTTGGGCACGAAGGTCCGTGACGTAAAGGAATTAATGTTTCAGTTCATAGGGCTTAATTTCTAGACCGAGTAATTAACGAAGTTTGATCGGCATGGGTCCGCCAAATCTCGCCAGTTTCGGTACGTTTGTTTGCTTTTATGCGTGTATTTTTTACATGGTAAAAAAACTATAAATGTAAATAAAAGTAAAAAATAGGTCAGATGCGTCAAAAACAGACATTGAGGGGCCGATCTGTGTCGCCACTACTCCCTCTGTGACGTTAAACAGCGAGATAATGCGGACCATCGATCAAACCGCTATCTATAAGAGTATAAAGATAGATAGTCTGGAATCGATCAATGTACAGTCCTATTTAAAATAGGAAGTTGAAAATCTTTTCGATGAATTGTTGGCTTAGTCTGGATTTGGAGGGCAAAAATAAAACATAAAAAAAACGGTCACCCGGTCGACCATGGCAACGACGTGACGTAACGCAATCCCGGACGACCGGACCTCGCAACCCCTTTCACCCCTTAGAATGGAGAAAGCGATCCGGGACCGGTTCCGTTGTCAAAACATGGCGTGCCACGAGAAAATAGCCGATGCCGTCGATAATTGTGCGTGACAACGGAGCTTTCTGCTTTTCCCAGTTTCCGTGTACTATCAAAGGCCAGGGTTTAAAATCAAATAAAACTAATTTTATCTCAGTCTTATTTCACTCAATACACAGTTAAATCCCAAACTATCCACTAATGAAAACTATAGGGGGCGAAGGAATCAACCACATCTTCAGGCACCTCCAAGAAAAATTCAAGTTCTCTTAAATTACAATGGAACTTTAAGACCGCGTCTGCTTTCAACATTGATCCATCTTTCTCTATCCATTTGGATTCGTGTCGTATTTGACCAATGGGACGTTTAACGTTAAGTGACAAGATCGTTTAAATTGTTGGGAGTCCCGCAGGGCAACATGTGAAGTTCGCTATTATTTCTCCTTTTCACGTTCCGAGAGGTTGAGTTCTGAAAGAGAGTGAGCTCTTCCATAATTTTGCAGTGATGTAGCGTTATGAAAAAGAGTCAAAACGAAAGGCTGGTGGAAAGCTGGAAAATGGTAAAGAAAGTAATTTTGTCATGAGGGCTTAACGCCGTTGGGTGTCATGGATGAAGGTTCAAACCACTTTACAACACTTTTATATTATTCTTAATTAAAAAGTACTGGCCCCTGCATCGGGAGTGACAACCAGAATAAAAATATTTATCCGGCTGTCAAATTAAGCCTTTTCTTTTTTATATGCACATACAAGTTTTACACTAATAACTTATATGAGCGTTGACAGGTGTTCACGCCATTTCTTAAAATTTACCGTCCACTTGCCTTTCATATGCTACCAGTTTTCAAATGCCTTTAAATTCCTTTGTTTTAATTTGATTAATCCCTTTGGTTTCCTTCCATATTCAATCCCAGTCTAGGAGTCAGCCGCCGGATAATCCGTTTCTTTGCATCCGATATTAAAATACTAAGTTTTTATCGTTATTCTGCATCCAATATTTCTAATTCTTTACTGTGTTTTATTAGTGCGGTGGAAGTTATTATTTATTTTATTTCGGCGAGTGTCTTCATCGGGCGAGTCAACTACATCTATCCAGTTCCATAGACGACCAGCGAAGTTCGCCGTGAGCCCAAAAATGCTTTATTTTGAAATTGAAAACTTTTATCTGGCCAGATTTACGACGGGTTTTGGACTTAAACATGGCTTTTATGCCAAAAAGGGGTAGTATGGTACGGGTATGTTTTTTCACCCTGCATACAGTTAAATTCTAATTAAATTTTAACTTCATTTTTTATTTTACTCATTTCTTTTTTTGTCCGTAATTTTCTTGCTTGCGACCAACC